CCCCCCCACAGGCCAATCAAGCTTTCCATCCCTGGGGTCAGCAACTGGCCCAGACTGGTCTGGGAGGATAAATGTGCCAAATTGTGCATCGTCTGGACACCACAATTCTCTGTGTAGACCACATATGCATTCAAATGGCCCTGCGATTCTGAGTACGAGTTGAATCAGACGGCGCATCCTGGGAGTGACATTCATCGACACCCAGAGAGACTCATTCTCACCCTTCTCTGCTGGAACAACTGTGCCTGAAAAGTCACACCATAGGCGAGAACAAACCCTGAAGTGCGTTGCCCTGACAAATAACACAATAAACCGAGCTTATGGGTTTTTCCTTTCATTAATCACTTGAGGCCTTTTGAGTGCACTTAGGTTTATGGCACGTTCTCGTTCGTCATGAGCGGCAAAATCTCTCCTTATCTGCTATGAAGATTCCATTTCTTCGATCGTCTTGCTGAATGAACTCTGGTTTTCTCTCCTTCTCCATCCCCCAACAATAGTGGCTCAAATGAACGGACGGGGGTGGGGTCCACAGAATTCAGTCCTTCTAAAGATGGCGAGCAGGGAATCGGGAGATTTCTTGGGTAGAGACCTCAACTCTTTGAGGAGACGGGCTTCATTGGCTTGCCTTCGGAATACTCCCCAAGTCTTTCGCTGAAGCTTCCGATAGTCATGGGTATCGGATGATTTGTGCTAATTACCAAATCCGCGTTGGAAGTGAGCAGCGGTGGTGACTGACGACTATGCATTAGATCTAAAACGCCTTCAGCTTGATGCCTAGCCATTTAACTTAGAGCCATTGTGTGAAGAAAATGGTTATGGGCAGCTTTGGTCTCGTTGTTCTCTCCACAATAGCTTCGTAATGCTCATACCCACCCACTCATGCACCCACCATCTCTCTTTGTTTTCTTATATATTGAACCGTTGAAAAATAATTTGTGATGATTTGATGTTTTCTTAACTACTGTTATTTCACCGCGGTAGGCGATACGGAAGTCTCACAAGGTTGGCGAGTTATGGACAAAATTTAGGCATTGGACGGGAATCGAACCCGTACTTGTGCTTTACAGGCACGTTACGCGGGCAGCACAAGTTCGGATTCGGGTCCCGTCCGAAGCCGAAGTTTTCTCCACCAACTCGCCAACCTTGTGAGGCTTTAATAATTCGTGAAGTTTCATAAGGATCAAAATTCGCTTTTTGTCCCTTTTCAGACGTAATGTGACCAGGAGATGAGGTCGTCTTGGATGTATTTTCTCTTACTGGTCTTAACCAGAATACAGTATGCATTCGCTATAAGATGTTACTCATGTGCAAATGAGTTCATTGTTTGGGTGAGTCGCTTTTGACATTTCTTTCCATCGATTGTAAACATACTACTACTTTCTACCACTACTTTCTGAGGTCATAGTGAAAGTGGCCAAGTTGTGTGGAGAGCACCACCGAATTGCTTGAATATTCTCTTAGGTTCTGCTCAAGACCTTCATGTTTCCCTTGTTTTTCAATATTTAACTGTTAATCTTCATGGGACTAAAGCATTGCCCGAAAACTTACTTAAATCTGAGTCTCTTATCCTCAAACTATAGAAGGAAACATATTCCTGAGGGGTGCCGATCCATAGGTCGAAAAGCTGAGGAAAGAAGGGACAAGAGGGAACGGGGTCATGCCTGGTTCGCGAACGCCCTTTTAGCGAAAGGTCGTACTCGTGAGCCCATTTACGATCCTACGCATAACAGCTTTCCGAGGAAGCTGCTCCTCCAGAATGAAACAAATGCGAACGGCATGCATATTTTGTTTACATTGAACATTTGTTTTTGTTTACCGTAATTGAGCTCTCTTGAGTCGGTTTTCTGGAAAAGTAAGCTTTCTCATGCGACCAATAGCAATCTACTCAGAATGCTCTGTTTCCCCGTGAATTACATAGAAAAAATGTAAGTGCTACCATAAACCCATTACTCTACGATAGACCAAAGTAGATGAAATTACCGCCATACATACACATTTATGCTTAACTACAGTGCAAATTGGTTTCTAGTGAGTTTCTCCATGGCGACCCGAACCCCTGGCAATGATCTTTATGAAAAATGATTTTATTGGGGAATAATAGCATGCTATTAGTTACAAGCATACGACACCACGAAGGAATTCATTTGGGGGGGGGGGGGAATCATTGAACATAGGGATTGCGAATTCCAAATAGCCAGGGCGCTTTTCCGGTTTCAACTTCACTATATGAGGGTCACCTGTGAGGACGACTGTGATAAATACTGGTGAGCGATTATCAAAAGGCATGACTGCAGAAAACGTGCCACCCTTGTCTGCGAAGATGGGGTTGTGTTCAGAAGCGCAGCTACCACCCAGGCGTGTTGCCCACTTGGTACACAAGTCATCCAGGACTTCAATCTCCGGTTTACGGGTGATAAACTGCTTCGGGCTACTGTTTTCCTCAACATTTTCGCTTTGTTTTTTGACAAAATTATTCTCAGTTTACGTTTTTTTCCCGAATAACCTCATTGCCACCAATCCACCACCGAATACATCACCATGAAATACCTCGATGGCCAACGTAACGAACCATACTTACCGGAAAATGGGAGGCGTGCGAAGAAAATTGAAAAATGGACGGAATGAACAGTTACTCTCACTAAAATTTGTCAGCTTCCGTTCAGAAACTCTTTTTTAGCAATGGCGGCACTTTTTTCTCAAGCGTAACTACGCCCTAGCATCGAGTGATCAAGAATGTGTTCGCAGGTGAGTGGGACTATTTTTATTTTTTTATAATTTCAGAATTTCAGTAAAACTTGTTTTTTAGGGATTACACTCCTGAGTCGACACAAGGTTGCCATACAACTTGCTTTATTTTCTCGTTAAATGGAACAAATAGAGAAACGGGTCAAACCAGAACCTTAGGTAAGAAGTTGTTTCTTCCGAAAGTACATGAAGTTATCTAGTTAATCGGGAGTAACAAGGCTGTGAGGGCCTATCGTGAGATCTCTGGGGAAACCAAACTTACGTACTTATGTATGTAACTGCCATAGAACAGTTAGTGCAACGAGAACTGATCAGGATAGGGCACCATGACCAAATGAAAGTGTGCCCTTTAAGTCGCTGTGGTTCCGTGTCAAGTACATTGCCATGACATACATAGGCAAAAGACAGGGGCAGTCACTACTACAGAGTAGGAATTCCATCCTGAGGGTTCTGCTAGAGCTATCGTTCTCTAATTTGTACGCGTACCGTCGAAAGCACAATGTCCCTTCATTTACCATGGTTTCCGCTGCATCGGTCCTGACCCTTCCGCCAAAAGACGGAGCTTCTTTGTTGGCGATCCTTAACCCAATCGTTTAGGAGTCGGTCGAGGCTGCTCCAGTCAATTTCTAACCGACGACCAACATATGCATCTGGGACTCGGTACTCACACGAAGCTTTCTGAAGTTGGTACATACTTACCGGCGGATTTTGACAAGGTAGTTGAGGAACAGTGAATTTTGCTGAACTAAACTTTTAATTTGAATTCATTCTGGTTCGTATTCAGCTGGAAATCTTTGAACACTGGTGTTTCTGTGCCACTGACTACTGTAATACACAAGTATGCTATAGCCGGCCATTTGGTAGCAGCGAATTTGCAAACTCCTATATTGGCAAACGATTACAGTACTCTTCTTACAATTCCGATTGGAGGTACCGTAACTGTACTAGTGGTTCATTTGTTTTGTTTTTACTTCTGTTATTGCCTTTGTCACTGTTTTCCAACAGCTGATGACCTTTGAACTTCATAATATTTGTGTAAATTGGAAGCCACTTGATATCATTGAAAGCAGCAGAGCCGATATGTCAAAAACTTAGTCCATGAGGTGATACTACGTTTGAAAAATGCAAAACTTGAATTTCGTTTTCTTAAGTGGCCTTTATGACAATTTGAAGTTGGAAGTGGCTACTGACGACCTTATGCACCAAGTTACAGTACCTACAAAACGATGAGCAGTTCACCGATCGGACGGCAGAATGTAATAGTAACCGATTCGGTCACTACCAGCACTCTCCGTTCTGTGAATCCTGCTCTTATCTTCTGCCTTCCGATAAGTACTGATGGGCGATGACTGGAAGTCCCAAAAGGTCTACTACTCGAGAAAGCATCTCGCTGAGAGTGACCGGGATTTTCTCACTCCTATCAGTATAAGGCTTGTTCAATAGTAATAGTCCTATGTGGAGAGGGAGTGGCGGAACTTCTCTCTTTACCGTATCCTTCCACTGGGAAATCAAACTTTTCCCTTCATAGCGTGCGCCTGAGTGCGGCGCGAGCTACGCGGTTTTCTGGGAGAAGTTCCATACTCACAATATCCGTGATAGAGTGATAAACCATGAATAAGGCAGTACATCAGGCAGTTTCGAGGCGAAAACACTTCCCATAGAACGCTGGTTCGAGCCAAAGAAGGTTCGCATTGTTACTGTGCTCAGAGCCACTGACCAACATCAACTTCCGAACTAAAAAACTGAAAATCAGTGGGAGTTCTGCAGTTTCCATCTTCAAAAGAACTGGAATAAGTGTTTTTTCTTTGTTGGATGCACCAATTTGTAATTACAGTGTACCTCTGTTTTTTATTGTTTGTACAGTTTCGGGTGTTGTTCGCAGTTAACAATAAAAATTTGATCGCTTATCCTTATTTTCTTCTATGTACATACGTGTCTTTGAATTGGCTCTTGGAGGGGCAGCTGTTTTTCGGAGAAAGTAGAATGGGTCTTTTGATGCCTGAAATGCCATTGTTCTAAATGGACCATGTGCTGACGTCTGACGAATTTCTGGGTGATCCTCCTTCACGCCCATTAACCCAAATGGCCAGAACAATCGAAAAACCCTGCCGTCGAATAAAGATGGCACCATAACTGTGCATCTACATCTGGATTCTGGTTTTTTTTAGTTTGTACTTGGTCATTGCTTTCCTTTGGCTGTGACACATGGTGAAAGAGAGGAATTGAGGTCTGTTGCGTAGAATGTTAGGTAATACTCAGCTCCATAGGTATTACTACTACCGTACCAATATGTAGCGGGATGGTACTAACGAACTCCAAGACATTAGCACAAACAATCAAAAAAATGTAACCCTGTTGGGGAGCTATCTTAGGGACAAGGCAGCACATGGGCAAAGATGATCACTTAACGATGACCGTGAATGTAGGTGCAAGTGAATGGCGACGTAGGATAAGACGGCCAAATCTGTCTGCCTGCTCTGAATGTTGACGGAAAGCCGAAAGCTGCTAAGGACCTGTATTTGCATCAATGCAAGATCTCGTAAGCAATCAGGATATCTCAGCAAAGACGGGCGTGGATGGGGGATTGGGAAGAGGGAAAGGTGGGTAGCACCAACTGCTGAGCTACCACAAGTGCAATGGAGTTTGATGCCAGAACCGGCACCCGTCGAAGCTGGCTGAGCATTCCATCTTTCCTCAGATTGGTTATTTGGCACAGACTCATCTGGAAGGATAAAAATGACCTGTTCAAAGGCCACTTCTGGATGGAAATCGAATGCGTGAGCTCATCCGAAAACGAGGTTGATCAACGCCAAAAAACATTGCAAATAAGCTTTTAAATAATATGTAAAGCTAGTTATATGTAGGCTAAGATACCCGGTCAGCCACATTCGCTCCGGACATTGCTGCTGAGACATGAAGAACTCCATACCAGTAAGACTTTTAGTCTGAGAACATTCGTCTGATTGGTTCAGACAGCTTTTCCACAAATGTTTCTGCTAACTGCTGAAGTAAAAGTCTCACAAGGTTGACGAGTTGTGTGTGAAGTCCAAGGCTCGGAAAGGGCTCAAACCCATACTTGTGCTATCCGTGCGCCGTGCTCTTTATCCTTCGCACTACAGAAACACGTGTATCTCGAAGTAATCTGATGTTTTAACAACACTAAAAGTGAGGCTGATTGCTTTCCATGCTGTGATTATCAAGAATCTTGTGTAATCTGTTTAAATGTAGTAATCAACAGATTTCCATATTAGTAAAGATATATTGATAAAAATTTGTAAGTGAAACAACGTTGAAATGTAACTGACTGGCGAGCAATATGAATCAAAATGTATATCAACACAAACAAGAGGAGAACCACGAAAAAAATGCACATTCGGGAAGAAAAATCACATGAAGAAAATCGTTCGACCGATATGTTTGTCACTATGGCGTCATCGTATGTTACATGCGGTAGTCTACAGTATTGATATAATCACATATGGAGAACTAGGTTCAGTGATAGGAATCTCTACAACGTTTTTGCCATATTGAAACGCCCGTTCTTCGGATAGGTAGGTTACCAAGGGTAAGCTACAAGAATCTTGACATTTTGAACGATTTCCAACTTCCCGAAATTCCATCTAACCACCTCCGGCTGAGGCACTTCCCACTTCCCACTTCGGGCTTTTGGTTTGGAATATTGAAAAAAATATATTTGTCAGTAACCTTCTACCACTCAGCATCTTTTCTCTAGGGAATCTTAAAGCCCACAATGTCGCTCGTAAAATCACAAAAAAGGATTACGTGGAGTGATACTGCACTACGATCAGGGTAATGAATCTAAAAACAAAACCGATACCCACCCAAACCAACCAAGTCTTCAATAAGCCCGCGATCGGCTGTCTGCTACCAGACTCGTCTGGGAGGATACCGATTCCGCGCATAATAGTGACATTTCTGATGGAAGCCAGTATGACCATGATAATGACGCTTAGGGTTCCAGAATGAGGTCGGAACTGTGGTGGCAGACCCCGAGCTGTTTCCCCATATTCAACGAAAAAGAATGGTTACCCAGTGCTGTGTGGGGTAAGATCATGGAATATAGGCTCACAGAGCCCACTAGCCCACCTGACTGATTTAGGTCTTCTGCCTCTGACCCGAACCACCACCGCAAGCTCTGGTTTTAGGGTCACGTCGGCTTACTCCCAGCTACCGTAACCGAAACAGTTGCTCACTCTGGTAACCTGACCTAACCAAAGAGGCACTAGACATGAAGCTTTTTGTCATTGATGAGCAATAGTTGACCAATTTAAGTGGAGGATTATGCATGTGCTAGAGTCATATCGCGTAGTAGTATATGCCTGAGATTCGTATGAATTTACAGCCTAATATAAGTGAACGCAATATGAACGCAATGCGTACGCCCGCAACGGCAACATCGAATTCGAGAGAATTCTTTGAAGACATGAAACAGAGGTGCATGAGCAATCTACATGGACGACCTAGATCCGCCGCCGATCGGGTGCACGATGGATGGCTCGGGTCGTACTGTCATCGTCGACTTGAATCACCGGTACACCAGATGGACTGTCGTCACTGTTCCATTCGACGTTCTTCAGTTCGTCCAGTGGAGGTACTGGCCTGAACTCAATTGCCTTCTCTACTGAAGGAAACTATACCGTACTTCTACAGTATGTCGGAATATGGTAAAAAACTGGTTTTCCAACTTCAATATCAAAAAGAACAGGTAATACTATATTATGAGAAGGAGAGAATGCAAAAATAGGATTTTAGAGGAACTAAAAGAATTCTGAACAAAGTAGAACGAAGAGGAATGGGAAGAGGAGAGAGGAAGGTATGACTTCCCATAGTTTGACCCAAAAACTGCAGGTAACGGGGAAAACGGTTTAGTATTTATTACGCAGTGATACCATTTTCTAGACACATTCTCCCGAGAGAAAGGGGACTCAGAGTGGGGAAACGTAAGAATAGTGAAATGGATGATCTTTGAGAGAGCTCCCGAAAACTTCAAAAATAAGAAAAGTCCACCAGGTACAGCGTTACACTACATGCATGGGCATCGGTTCCGAGCAAGGAAATGGATGGCCACAGAACCCCAAACGACTATATGGCGCTGTGCCAGCTCTATCCTTCAGGTAAGATGGGGAAATTATAAAGTTCAAACCTACCTCCAAGTCTCATCCTGATTCCATGATACACTTCGTGCCACAAAATTGCCAGGACTTTCCAGATGACTACCACTTGTCTCGTTCAAAACCATCATAGAAGTGGCCGGCATTGTTGATGGTGTGTGACCTAAACAAGTAAGTGATTCCGTAAGGTAACACCCATTGTCTCCTATGCTCTGACAAGCATTAGGTGCGACAAAGGTTCAACATACCTCCTCGATTTTGCACAAACTGCATCAGTAACCGTTCCATATTTTGGAGGCGTGAATTGATCTGGTCGACCATCCCGAGACGATCGTGAATCACCTCGAATTTGGACCTCATCTCTGATCGAATGTTATTCAACGAAACCCAATCCTGAAAGCAATACCCGTCCTACGATATCCTTCACTACTAGCTAAGACCTGCTCAGAGCTTGTACTCCTTTGCAGTATCAAGAGGGACCGTAAGTGCCGTCTCTTAAGAGCCGTATGTGCTGTCTCCTTATACCACCGCAAACATTTGAAAGGACCTGATAGTTTACATATCGTCGCCGGGCCCTTTTATCATGACTATGGCTGGTCACGTCCGATCAGCTGGATCGCGCTCTCCCCCACGGACGTGACTGGTGCAGCAGCCCGCGCCCACTCAGTCCTAACGATATCTTAAACTCTTTTAATATGATACTGAGGGAAGTCAAGCTTAAAAGTTAGGTCGGAACCACTTTCCATCATTTCAGCCCACCTACTTTTGAGTCTTGTTACTTTGGCGCACGGGGTTAAAGGCAATCCGGTGAGACGATCTCAAGCACTACTGGGTGCAAACACACCGACTTGTAAAACTGTTCCTCTCCCCTCCTTCAAATCTTTACTGCCACATTCTTGTAAACTCCCCAAATGGAACGCCTCGAAAAGTTTGGGTTTTTGGCCAATATTCTTCGCTTACCTTATCCTTATGCTTTAAGTCCCCAGGCGAACCTCCCCAACTCGTTCGGGAGAATGCATCTTCGTCAACAGTCTGGCGCTTCTAAAAGAAGGTTTTACCCTCGCGTAGCCATTCTTCCCAAAGACACAGGTAAATTGGAGAATTTCACTCACGAGCAACGGCGGTCGCTTGTTTTTCTGGCCATTCCGCGGTGATCGAGACGGATAACTTGATGAGAGCAAATTGGACGTTTCGTCGACCATCGAATGTACTGATGAAACTCGATTCATCTCCGTTGTTGTTGGATGCTTTTTCATGCCCTTAACATCAACAATGAGTAGCACTAAATCAATTTCACCCAGGAAAATGCTTTCATTACCAAATAATCCTTTAGGGTAAAAGTGAGGTGGCACTTGTTGGCGCTTACCTCCCTCGCTTTGTCTAGAGACCCATACCTTAGAGGCACGTACCCGGGGCACTGAGCCTTCCTGCCGAACGAGTGGCCCTACTGGTGCCAGTGTGGTCCGACAGAATAGAAAACTCCTATCACGTCAGCTCCTTTCCGTAAAAAGTGACTGAAAGGGGGCAATACGTAGTTTTAGCCCTTGGAACCCCATGTCGTCTTCAGCTGTCCCCTTTGCAGACATAGGTGATAATTTAAAAAAAGCGGCTCGGTAACTGAATTCAGTAAAGCACTTTCTCTTTTTAGAAACTGGCTAGGTAACTAAATCCTGTAAAGCACCTTCTCTATATCAGCGAACATCGGACTAGGGAATATTCGTGGTCCATGACGTTCTCGCATTCGGAAGAGCAGTTTCCGTACAGGATGATCGGGTGGCAACGTGAGCTTTTCATTCTTCCGCCGCGCGTCGAGTTCTTTTTCTCGTTTCACGTCGACCACCTACATAAGCGAATAAGAAAATTTTTAGTCGAATTGAATCTACTTTTGCAATCTGATGAAGTGAATGTTCTGGAAATAAACGGAGAAGAAGGAACTTGAACTATTACCTTCCGGAATTTCAAACGATGCGTCAAATTGTAGGTGAGGACGAGATTTCTGGCAAACGAATTGGCGAACGCTTTGTAGAAATTCAATACCTAGAAAGTCACATATCGAGAACTTTCGTGCTTCCATTGCTTAGCTCCTCAGATCATTTAGTCCAATCAATTATTTATAGGCAATATTATACACAAATATTCATGGACTACTGAAGGATAAGGAAAAATGGACAGGCAGTAGAACAATCTAATTGCCTTGGAAATCAAAAAGTATTTGGATCTCGGCAAGTTTACTTTTGAAGCAGGCGGTTTTCCTAATTCGGAAACTTCAATGGAATCTTTGACCGAGGAAATCCATTACAGCTACGGTGAGAGTAATTAAAGTGGAACTTATGAGTATTTGCGTTCCCTCTCCCTCTAGATTGAACCTATCCAGTCAACAATATTATTGTGGGTATTGGAAGCCGCATTGTCATGTGTGTTGCATCAGAAACAAAAAAAAAACTCAGCCTCAACTTACGTAATGTATAAATACTAATTATTCAATTCTTCTTTTAAGATGAAAGGACCCACCTCCATCAACTTATCCTTTTTGATCATATGCAAATCGGTATAAGTGAGCGCCCGCACATTAGCTGCTGACTGACCCGTTGAACCGTTGTTTTTCCAGAATTCGTCGCCAAACACATCACCTTTACCTGTAACATTCCCGACTCGTTCACAAGCTCGTGAGACCTCGACCGTCACTCGGGCACTGAGCACTGAGCAAAACCTGCACTTTAGGTAGAATTCAAACCTACACTCGTGCTTTGCAGGCACAGTGCTCAGCACCCCTCCCCACACCCCTCCCTACATTACTTAACTGCTACCTCATCGGTTTCTCTAATTTCCGAAAAGAGGATCAAGGCTGACTCCCAGAACGATAGTAATTAGTAGGAATATCGAAGAAAGCTTTCAGTTGAGCAGAAAGGGTGTCGGTGGTGCAATGGGTTAAAATTCGCACGAAATAAGAGGCCACACGTTCAATTTTCGCCGAGCGTTTTGCCCACTACTCAGCTTTTTAAGAAGATCTCAGTGCTTCCCGTTATGTAGAATTACTGACTCCTTAAAGGTTTACTTGATTGGTAGCTATGCTTAAAATTGATTACAGCAAAGCAGGCAGAGAATCTAGCTAGTCAAGAAAGTGATTCTGAATAATGGTTGCCGGAAAACTGACCTAAAATAGCGACTACTTCCTCGTCTTGAATCACCTCCAACGATCCACTGACGACGAACCACAATGCATCCACAGATTCACCGGTATGATAGAGGAGATCACCAGGGGCAGCATGATTGGACTGAATTCAGTATTTGCCACCATAGACAATCAGTAGGCTCAGTTGAACGATTGCTGACCTCAAGATACATAGCCAGCGAACGAAGACAGCCATCGGATGCCAAACGGAAACATGAATGCTCATTGAACACTTTTCGATTCAGATGTACACAGATATCAGCCTTCATATCTTTCGGACAGTAGCCGAGTACCTGAAATTCTTTTATGGTTACCAGTAGTAGTTAACAATAAAGATCTAGTAGAGAGAAGGTTTATTGCGCGGGATATCTCAGAGGAATAATTGCAAGATGACGAGTAGGAGTCAAGAACCTCAAAGAGCAGCCAAAACTCGTCACCCTCAATTAGCACTGAAGCACCACTTTCATGCAAAATTCAGCCCTGTTCCATCCTGATTACCCAGCCGTTTTTATGATGTACTTGATGACAACGGCCCTGCCTGCGCAGTAATGGTTCTCAACGGAATGGTCGTAGGCAAATTGTGCAGCACCTTCTGCGTGTCGATGCCTTTCGTCATAGCCCACGTTGATACCACATAGTCCATGACACGTTCGGCAAGTTCTTTGGGAACTTCTTGAAGTTTGATGAACTCTCGAACGTTGCTGATCATATCGTGGTACCTGAAAAAGGTGAAAGATTCACGGGAGAGATACGCATTATGCAGATTTTGTCTGAAATTGCTTCAGTTCCATCTGCTGAGTTTAATGGGTTGTTCCTCTTTTTTTCTGTTTTTTCTATTTTCGTTTTGTATCTGTTCGAATTAAATTGTGAAGCGATCCATTACCTAACAGTTGCCGAGGTCATCTGTTGAATAATCGTCGTCATATGACCAAAAATGGCAGCGTAAAGCAAAGCCGAGATGATCATCATGCAGACTCCAAACACCTAAAATGAATCGCCTTTATTAGCAATACTTCCGTGCTAGACAGGTTTTTTAATGGTGGAACATCTATTCGCCTGACGTTTCGACCAACTTGACTTTATAAAAGGCCTGAAAGCGTTCCGGAACATTAGAGTGTTACCTATAACGCTTGACGTAGACCAGCTGTTAACTACTTGCAACTAAGACCGATGAACTTCTAACTGAGTAGAAATTCCGCCAAGTCTTTTACGCCAATTCCACCAAGACCGACCAAATGCTCAACTTCAGACATGATAGAGCAATTGAGACAGCCCGGGACGTAACACGTATCACTCTCCACTATCAAAGTTCACTTAGAAGTATGTAAGGTAAGAGGTCACCAGTTATGTTGATGCACTCATTCTTGTTTATTCATGCTCGAATTTCGATGTCTTATCCAGAAAGGCTCTAGAGTTTCTTGGCAATATTGTCCTCGTAGGCCGAAATTGTTCATTTAACGTCAAAGTCATAACCAGCATGACTTTCTCTTCTGTGCTTCCCAAGCTGTGCGATCGAGTAATACCTTTGCTAGCTAAATCTTCTAAAGAACAATAATGAATAATTGGCCACAAACCTTTTCGTTGTCCGTTGTACTGGCAATGTTACCAAAACCGACTGTTGACATACAACTCATAGTGAAATATAGAGCTAAAAATAGAAATTTATTTTGCGAACCGATATTCGAGTAATTTTCATTTTTTATCGCTACATAGGTGATGTAGAGGCAAGTGGTGCACAATCACATAAAGCCGTATCTATAGTCGCCCAGGCCAAACAAGCTCTCCGTTCCTTCGAGGTCGGTTGATTGTTACAAGTTGGCAGGGAGAATAAAAGCCCGACTTCCAAATTGCCTAATACTACTCAACCGGAGTCAAGAACGTGGTGTGTCGCAAAGGAGAAACTGTACGCGGCCTATCATTTACAATTTTCAGCAAGAACTTGGATAAGCACTGTTCAATAGGTCTATCATAGAGCACAAGGAACGAAAAACCGTAAACAGGAACTACAGGGTGGCGAAAAATTACGTGCGGCATAAAAAACGCTCAAACTGAATTATTTGTATACCAACATTGGAAGAAATATATTTCCTTAAAACAACAAACAATGACATAACATAATCATAACAAGTTTTCAAAGTGCCCGCCTCCTGCTTTGATATAGGCTTCGATTCGTCTTTTCGCCGAAACCACGGTGTGCCGAAGATAGTCGATGTCCAAACTGCCCCAGATTTTGCACACTTCCTTTCGCAAAGCCACCAAACTTTTCGCGATTTAATCCTTAGTTCCTCTTCCATATTACCCCAAACAACGAAGTCCAAAAGATTCAAATCTAGGCAATTGAAAGGCCACAGTTCCTTCGTCAGAAAAGAGATCATCTCGGTTTCGAGGAATTGATTAGTGGATCTCGCTGCATGGGCCTGAGCCCAGTCTTGCTGAAAGATGAAGTTGGGATGATTTCGCTTCCAGAATAACAATCTTCTCCGAGGATTTCTTTTTTATAAATTTTCGCATCGATTTTCGCAATTTTGTCTATGAAAATCAACTGAGTCTTGCCTGATGCACTGTTGCCACTCCAAACCATTAAATTTTTGGGGAACAAACCCTTGTAGCAACTCTTCTATTCCGGATGTTCTTAAAAACGCGACTAAAAAGTTGGCGTTGATTCTGAGGGTTTCAGCCTCTTCCACGGTGAACACTCTTTGGGACAGTTTGGATATCGACTACCTTCGGCGCACCGTGGTTTCGGCGACAAGACGAATCGAAGCCTGCATCAAAGCAGAAGGCGGGCACTTTGAAAACTTGTTGCGATTATGTAATGCTATTGTTTTAAGGGAATATATTTCTTTCCATGTTGGTATGCAAATAATAAAGTTTGAGCGTTTTTTATGGCGCACGTAATTCTTCGCCACCCTGTACAGGAATTTAAAAAATTGTAATTTTGATAGGAATTTAATGACGAATGTGGCGGGTTTGCATCACGAAAGCTAAAGAAAATCTCACATGATATATATGAGCTCGTCCTTGATGGCCCTCCAACCAACCGTGTCCTATTTGATAGGTTGATATTATATGGTGATTTGAGGTCGTTCGCTAATCGGAACAGCCAACCATCCGGCAACAGTGGATTATCCATCTATAACTAATTCGTTTATGAAGGCAACTGAATCAGTATAACATCAGAACTATGTACGAATTGTCTAAAAAAGTCGTTTTTGGCTCCGCCTACATGCAACCAACCTTGATTCGAACTTCATACTCTCCTATGCTGAACCATATACACGCCAACCAATGAGCTACCAAAACATACGCACACAGCAACAATAAAAGTGTTGCTGCTCCGTATTCTAGATAGTTGTCCAATTTCCGTGCTACTCGTCCCAATCGTAACAATCGGACGACTTTTAATGCCGAAAATAGGCTACCGATCCTCTGAAATCTCCTTGATTAGCACTAAATGGCAGTGATTTTTGAAATTTTCCCTAAAAAAAGCTGGATAATTACCAGGGACAATGTACATTTCAAGAGAAACGGAATTTTGAAGAAAAAAATGAACCAAACCTCGTCATCACGTTTGAACATATAAAATATATCGTAAGGCAGGCACGATAAGAGATCGATAAGGAACCACGATTTGAAGTAGTTTTGTCGAATTATCGAGGGATCTATGACAACCTGAAAAAAGAGTTCAGTTTTTGAAATGGGAGCTGGTACTTTACGGCTTTTCCCCTTCTTTGTTTGAAATTTCCTTGAGGCGCACTTGATACCAAGTTGCTGGAGGAGAGGAAGCGAGGTCAGCGTGCAAAGTTCCCTTCCCTTTACTTGGCCTGTCTTTCTCTATCTAATAAATTCCAAATTCAATTTCTTTCTCTTTCTTCTCTCAGCTTTCTTCATCATCCTCAGGTTTTCCTTGACTGCCTTTTTCTACAGAACCCTTATTTATCAGTTTATTTATTTATTCAAACTGCACATTGGTGTGTTCGAACAATCAGAACTTGCGTTAGTTAAAACAAAGCGAGGGAAGAAACAGCAACATATAGCAATAATTAGCCAAATATGAACACTCTAATGCCAGAAGACAACGATCTGGAGACAACCACTATCTAGAAGGAAATACGAGGGTTGCCTTTTATATTTTGAGATTTGGCAACACTAGTGTAGCAATTTAGCAACTGACACCACTATCGTAAAGTTTGACTATTTTGAGGTTCCGCTGCGAAATTTGAGCGCGATTTGTGTTGTTCACACTAAATTATGAGATTTTGTTTGGGCCAAGTTATGGGGTTGAATCGTGAGCGTTTTCGCGCGATTCTGCAATTTTCGACGTGGACTAACTCAACAGCAATGCATGGATGAACTTAGTTCAATTTTTGGGGATGAAGCTCGATGGTATGGTGAATTTACCCGAGGTCGTAGTTCACTCAAAGACGAATTTCGTAGAGGTCGTCCAAAATCTGTTGCTCCGGAAACCGTTGATGCTGTGCACAAACTAATATTGTAAGACCGTCATGTGACCTATCGTGAGATTGGGACAACCTTTGGCATTAGTGGGACCAGCATACATTCAATATTGCATGAATATTTGAGTGTAAAAAATTGTTTTTGAAAAGTTTGTCAATCCTCCAAAAAAGGAACTCTTGTCGATTGATTGAAAGAAATGCTCAAAAAATTCGATCGCAGTGCTTCGAAACACGTCCACGACAT